GCATCTGAAATGAACAGACATTTCTCAGAGGAAGTAGTAAAAATAGGAAATAAACATATGAAAAATGTTCAACATCACTGGTCATTCAAGAGATGCAAATGAAAACAACACTGAGATTCCACCTCACTCCCGAATGAATGGCTACTGTCAAGATATCAATCAATAACAAAAGCTGGCAGGGCTGTGAGGAGAAAGAAACTCTTCTCTACAGTTGGTGGGAGTGTAGACTGGTGTAATCACTGTGGAAATCAGTATGGAGAGGCCTCAATAAACTAGGATTAGAGGCCTTATTTGAGCCAGGTATTCCCCTGCTGGGAATCTTCTGAAAAGAATTAAAAGCATCATACGACAGCAATATATGTGCTCCCATGTTTATAGAAGCACAGTTTGTAATAGCTAAATCTTGGAAACAGCTCAGATACCCATCAACTGGTGACTGAATAAAGAAGGTGTAGTTTTTCTGTAAAAGGGAATACTACTCAGCCATAAAGAATGATAAACCAGAGACAGTTATATGGAAGGACCTTGAGGCCATATTTTTACATGAAATAAATAGGACACACATGTGTAGATACCTACTGCATAGTTTCTCTGGTGTGAGAAACAAAGTGTGAATAAAGAACAAAATGTATTTGAGATAATGTAAAACAGGAAGAAAAGAATCAATGGGGGACAGGAAGTAGAGCGGGGAGGTGGGGGAAAGGAAAGAAGGGAAAAATGGGAACAAAATTTTTGTAAATAGGGATGGGTGGGGTTAAAAGGGAGGGCAGGGGAATGGGGAAAAAACAAGAACCAAGATACATCATGTACAGGTACAAGTTCGCAATGTTAAATGTGATCGTCACGTATACCTAAAACGTATCAGTCTACTTAGTGGAAAAAAAAAAACTACACTCACACTAAGTCTTGTCCATGCTATTCATGACAGCATTATTGTTAGTGGAAACAACTAAAATGTGTCTACCCAGGGGAATGGATAAGCAAATTGCGTTGTGACACATCTGCTCATCGATCAAGAAGAGCAAACAGCGTGCCACAGCAAGGGTGAATCTTGAAACAGTGCTGGATTTGAAAGTTAGCATGCACAAAAGATTATTGTGTCGCTCCCCTTTTCTGTAACAGAAGAGTGGTTCTATAGCATCAAAGAAACAAATCAGTGGTTGCATGAGACTGGAAAGACATTCCTCTTTGCAAGTAGTATCACAAATTGCACCAGCACACAAATTTGTGAACAGTATAACTTTATCGCCTATGTAAATTAGCCCTAAATAAAGTTGATGTATAATACAGTAGGTAGCTACACAATCTGAATTCAACACACATAAAACTAAACAGATCAGAACAACATGGTATTAGTACTGAGAGAGACAAAGAGATGGATAGAAAAGAAATTCTAGCAACTGACTTTGAGTTTATAATAGTTTACGAATTAGAATGTGGTTACTGTGGTATTCTGAATCAAATTGGGGAAGAAATAAATTATTCATAAATGGTATTAAGTCCATCGACCGTTCAAAATGCAAAACAAAATTAGAGCCCAGTCTGTTACACTTACGAAAGTACATTCCATGTGGATTTAAAAGTCTATGAAAAAGGAAAATCAGCTTAGACGGGCTACAGTGAAAGGGTTTCAGGATCTGAGCGCTGGGTGGAGAGGCAGGAGTCGCACTGCGTCGGTGTTGGGCTGGGCTGAGGTCCTCTGCGGAACACCGGGGCTCTGCTGCTTCAACCCTAGGGCTGGAGATGAATCTGGAGTCTGCGAAAGGGCACAAGAGTGGCCCACTCTAGATTGAAGAGCTTAGTGGTGAGGTCTTCGTGGCTCTGGGTGGGGAATGGCCAAGGAGCTGAGCCTTGGGAGGTGTCACAGCGCTGTTCCCTCGCCCAAGGAGGAGCCCTGGGCCTGGGTGAGGAGCAGGGATTGCAGCTCTTGGGGGAAGCAAGTGCTCTTCGTAGAATCAATTCTCCTGTGAGTGCGTCACTTCACAAGTAACTTGGGAAGAACAAGATGAGCAGAATTACAAGACCCGAGAGCCCATCTCAGCTGTAGCCCTGAGAACACAAAGAGCCTCAGTCACAGACAACCCACTGCAACTCCCTGGCCTCCGTGGGGCAGACCCTTGGGACCCCTCCTCAGCCTCCACTGAGATGCTGGGTTCTAGGGCAGAAGTCTACCGTGCGCTCATTGATCTCAGTTGCAAAAAGCTGATGTGATTCTCCAAGGTGCCTGGATTCTCTTTGTTTCCCCGATTCTCTTGGGGAGTTTCACATTAAGCTGAATTAAGGGGCAGGTGACCATCACAGGTGCTGGTGCTCAGGTAGGAATCCCCATGGTAACAGAACCATCTGGCTTTCTTGCCTGGCACCAGGCCCCGTGACCTGTGGTGGAATCTTTTCCCAACAGTCGGAGGGGCTTCCCAGATAAAGAGGAGACCCGGAGGAAAAGGCCAGCGAGGGAAGCTTTGTCCTGCAGGCCTGAGTTTGAAGACTGGGCTTAACCACATCAGGACTCAGGGCTGCCGCTGACTTGAACTTGGGACACCCGCGGCGGTGCGGGCTGAGAATGTGAGCAGCGTTATACCCTGACCCGGATGCCCCTATCTTGCCTCTCCCTCTGTGGCTAAGAGAGCTCTTCTGCTACTTTCTCTGCAGTTGCCACTTCTTAAATAAACTTGTGCTTTGCACCATATCTGTCTTGACTCCCTGCTTTCCTACTTCCTCATTCTTCATCAGAGTGAGGGCAGGAATCCAAAAAGAGGCAGAGGCTCATTTCTGGGGACCCCTACCCGACAGATACCCCCTACCAGACAAAACAGTTCCTTCTTGAGACTCCAAGGGAGGATCTATTCCATGTCATCGTCCTGGCTTCGGGTGTTGACTGACAATCTTTGGCATTCTCTGGCTAATGCCTACATCCCTTCAATGTGTGCCTAAATGGTTGCATGCCCTTCTCACCGCTGGAGTCTGTGTCCAAATCTCCCTCATCTCCCAAGGGCACTATCCAGGGCTTATGGCCTACCTTAGCCCACTATGACCTCATCTTGACTTCATTACATCTGCCAAGAGACTGTTTCCAAATCAGTAAGGTCACGCCCAGCAGGTACCAGGGTTAGGACATGAGATGCAGAAAAGACACTCACCCACATACGAGTCTCTGTGAGATGAGCACAGGCTGGGCAGTGGTGCCATCGTGGGCTCAGAGCCTGGGGCTGCCACTCAGCCCACCCTCTGCTTCCTCTGCCCAGCAAAGTTGGAAGGACGATCCATACTCCCAAGGGAGTCCTAAAGATCGCCTCACAGAGGAAGGACTGCAGAGCACCATGGAGCCTGGAGGATGGCAGAAATTCAGCAAAGATGGCCCTGAACTGGCCCTCAGAGCTCAGGTGCCCACTCTCTAGGAGCTCAGTCCAGCTCAGGGCCAGCACTTGCCAGGGTTTCCAGTTATGGGGGGGCCCCTGTGGTCAGGCAATGTGCACAGCAATGGGTCCAGCACTGACCACAGGAGGGGCCAGGAAAGAGGATTCAAGGTCCTAAGGCCCCAGCGGAGTCAGGAAGGGTAGGGACAGATTGCAGCAAGCCCTTCTATGGTGGGCGCTCAGAGTCTACAAGTTGTGCAACTTGAGGGCTTGTTTGAATCAGCGAGTCCCGCCGGGGATTTAGCTCAGTGGTTCTACCGCCTGCCTCTGGAAGTGCAAGGTTCTGAGTTCGATCCCTAGCACCGAAAGAAAGAAGGAAGGAAGGAAGGAAGGAAGGAAGGAAGGAAGGAAGAGTCCCCACACAGGCTCTGGGAATGGCTCTGAGAAGCAATGTGGGGAACGGGCTGGTTTTCACCATCAAGATTCCAGGCCTCTTGAGACCTCTGGGCCTGGGAAACAATTCCTCCTCCTACTTCCCTACCTGTCCCAACATCATGGCTTCTCCCATCACAAGCACCGACTCTGGCAAAAAACTTAGCTCTTGGCCAAGGCTATTTGGTATTCTTTTTCTTTTTATCTCTTTCCTTCCCACCACCCTTCTTTCCTTTCTTTTGGTATTGTGAATGCAGGATTCTTTCAGGCCCTGGGGATACAGAGTGATCTAAACTGACAGGCCTTACCTTGGAATAGCTAATGGGATAACCATTAACAAAGCAACATGCAGTCAAATGATTTACAGCAGAGCAGTGGGTGTTCTGAACCAGAAGCATCAGGGTGGGTGAATGTCAATATTAAAATGATATGACCCTTGTGAAAGCCAGTGAAATTGGGGGAGTGACCTTCAGCGAAGCACCAAGGAAGTCATCACTCAGGAAAACAGACAGGGAAGAGATTCCAGAAAGGACAATTTGCATGTGCAAAGGCCCTGTGGCAAGAGGGTGCTTGGCAAATGAGAAAGACCAAAGACAAGGTCTGTGTGTCTGGACTGGACAGAGGGAAGGGAATATAAAATGGGCTAAAAAATAAAATAAAATAAATAAATTTAAGAGGTGAAATGCCAAGGTGGGGGGGCTGAGAGTCTATATATTAGACCAATTGTTTCTTGAATACTTATCACTTGAGTGCATACTCTAGGCACCAGGCTAAAGGACCAGGGCAGCTCCAGAGAGGCGAGACTACTTCACACCTGGAGCGAGCAGACCACAGCCCCAGAAAAGCATCTCAGTGAGGGAGAAGTGGTCTGGAGTCACCCTGGGGGGAGGCTGGGAGCTGGAAAGGCTTTTATGAGCTGAGAATTGAGGAGCAGATCTTGGCTTGGGCTCCTAGGCAGGACAGAGCATGGCATGGCTGAGGAACTGGGAGGGGGCTGTGCAGAAGGAGCAGGTTGGGCAGGGGAGGGGTAGGAAGAGACTGCAGGTGTTGGTGGGCCCGGGTTCCCCAGGCTCTCCACTCACTTCACGGGCTGAGAGCTGTTGCTGGGCTTTCCGGGGAGAAGCACAGACAGGTTTGAGCTTTGCAGGGCCCCTGTGACCTCTGTTACGGGTAGGAAGTTGGAGTACAGTCACGGATGAAATCCTCTCTTCCCAGATGTCCCTGGAGAGCTGTGCAGGGGAGTCCAGTGCCTCACACTCTCCCAGCCTGCTGGAGGAGGAGGATACTGGGCCCTTGGCCCCGCAACCACAAAACACCAGATCGACTGACAAGGAGCCCCTCGGTTCCCTCGGCCTCTCCCACAAGGCCCCGGTGGCCTCGGAGTGCCTGCCTTTCTTCCGCACCTGTGAGTGGCTCCTGGCTGAAGAGAAAGCCCTGCAGACTGAGATTTTCGTGGACCAAGGAGGGCAGAGGGCCCGGCAGGCATCATTTCTGGAGGATTTGGCGCCACCCAGTGGCTTCCTTCCTTACTATCGCTCGGAGAAAGACATTCTCCCCTGCCGGATCCTTCCTGGCCAGGGGCACGGGGGCTCCCACGACTCACTCCCCAGTGAGAAGGCACAGGAGGACTGCTGCTGCAAGCTGACAGCCAAGGATGGGTGTCCTGTGAGTTGAGGAGGCCAGAAAGATGGAGGAGCACCGGGCCCCTGAGATGCTCCAGACCTCTGTCCCGGGCCCATACTCCAGCAGGCTCCTGTCCAGGCCCTCGAGGGCTTCTGGGGCTCTCGGAGCCACATGTCACTAGTTAAGATCACAGAGACCGGAGCCACAATGTCCCGCTCAATCCCAGCTCCACCACTTGTTAGGAAATTGGACTGGTAGCTGCCGTCTTCAGGTTCCTTATAAAGGAGGCGTGAGAACAGCAGCAGTTGCTCTGAGAGCCACCGTGAGAACTATAGTGAAAGAGTTTTGCGTGGAGTTGAGTATACAGCAACATCCTGAAGTGTTGTCCCTATGTCCAGCTAGGCACTGAGACACGTGCTGCACGTGCATCCTTTCGTTTAACACTAATAGCAATTGCAAACCTCCAAGATAAAGTCATATTATTCCCATTTTATGGATAAAAGCGAGTCTCAGAGAAGTTTAATAACTTGGCCAAGGACACATAGCTAGCAGTTGCAAGCCTGGGATTTGGCCCAGACAATCCCCTGTGACCTTACCAGTGTAGCCACCAGCACCATGTGGGGAGCACTGTGTCCTGTGACTACAGCGTGAGCAGAGGTGAGGTGGGTGAGTTTGAAGCCCAGAGCCAGCCCTCCCGACTAGGTCCCTCTGGTGAAGCTTAGTAGCATCTCTGAGTGCTCCTGCAGAACTGGCCCTGCCATCTTCCCTGCCCTGGCTGTCACAGGCATGGGCCACCCTGGCACCTGGGCCTGGACCCGGGAGGCAAGCCCATGTCTGGCTGACCACCTTGTTTCCCTCTGATCCAGGCTTCTGCTGCAGGCTCAGATGTCACCTCCAGGTCCTCACACTCACTAGTCTCAGCAGGGAGCTCCCAGGACGGCAGTCTGGATAATCCTCCCTGCAGGGACCAAGCCCTTCATGCCCCAGGATTTGTGCCTTACTACAGGAGCCCAGAGGAGGAGTTGCACACCAGCCTGCAGCCTTCGGCCTCACTGTCTGGGAGAGACCAGGACCTGATCGAGAATGAGTCCTAGCACCCAGTTCTCAGCAAGAGCAGAAGGTGGATGGAGGTAAGGTTTCCGCAGCTCAGTCAGTGTCCCGAGCCTTTGTCCCCCAGGCCGTGGAGCCCTCAACCTCTGGCAAAGGACATCCTCCTGCCCCCTGCCAGCAGTAGGAGCTGAACAGAACCTCTCAGGCTTACCCAACTCCCTCAGGGCACCAAGCTGCATCTGCCAGTGCTCTGTGTGCCCAGCATCCACCCAGTCAGGCTTGCAGCTGGACCACCTCCTAGAGAAACAGAAGGGAGAACCTCAGCCACCCCACCCCTCATACAGTGACCCCTCCAGCCCCAGGCTGCCCCCACTTTCTTCTCCTAGCTTGAAAACCTGCCCAACAAGGAGTAAGCAGCCGCACCTGAAGTGGTTCCGCCGAGGAATGCCTGTCTGGTCCAGCACTGAAGCCTAGACAGTCCCTTCTGTAGCCTGCCCTAGGCTGGGAACCAAGGGACGGGGCTGCCTGAGCAACAGAGGGGCAAAGATGCCCGGAGATTGGTCTCATAAATAAACCATAGCGCTACAAGGCTTGGACTGGTACACTGGTTTGTTGCTTGGAGAAACACCTGCTGCTTCTGTTTTTGATCATTTACTATTTTTTAGGCATCTTACAAAGAGTGTGCCTGTGATCCTAAGAAGTAATCTTCATTTCAAAGTTGAAGAAGCAGGCTCAGAGAGGCAGGGTAGCACACCCAGGCTCACATGGACAACCAGGCATATTTTGAGATTTATTGGCCTCCCCTATACACCACACACACCCCAGAGCCCCTCCGCTGATGTCTAGTGAATGCGTGGCAGAAGAGAACTACCCACGACACTGACTCTCTCCATCACAGCATATCTCTCGGGAATCCTAAGGACACATTGACATTTGGCAAATGTTACTCCCATCTCAGTGGTGACAGACAAACTGAGGCAGAAAAATTAGTATATTTATGCAGAGGGGTGGGAGGGGGGGCCAGGGCCTGTAGGAAAGTCTCTGCCACCTCCTGAGTCATGGCCAGGAGGCAGCACTCGGGCCCCGGAGTCAGATAGCAGGTGTGGATCAGCAGTGTTCCACTCACCTGCTGTGTGGCTTTGGAGAAGCAGCTTATGCGTCCTGAGTCTTATTCTTCCCAGATGAAAAATGAGGAATTACTGTACGTGAGAGACTCAAAGCGATGTTAATAGAGCACACAGCACCATCAGCTAGAGCCCCGAGGTGGAAGGAGGCTAGCACACTGAGGCTTTGGTAAACCAAGGCAGGTAAAGAGTGGGGAGGTCTACCTACAAGGCCGCTCTGCTCTCCCAGCACACAGCTCCCACAGAGCCTCTCAGAGATTCACTCTGGCTCCCTGAGACTCTTCTCTGAGACTCCTGCGTCAGAATTTCTTTCGTTGACTAAGTATACACTGCAGTAGTAGTAATTCTCCCTGCCAGGCAGAATTTCCGGGAAACCTTCCCAAACTGTAGGCTCCAGACCTTTTCCGCCTGGGAGCCCCAAGTGCTGTGTGTCAGCGCCCTCTGCTGGCCTATTTTGACAAGACACTCACTGCTGGTATCTGTGGCCCGGAATTTTATTTGAACATCACCTAACAGCGCCACTCCCTCTGCCAAAAGACAGAGGCAAGTGGGCAGCAGCACCAGGCCCAGAGCCCAGGCAACCCAGCTTCCCTGCTGGCCCCTCTGCCCTCACTGTGCGGCGGCTCGCTGTTTCCTAACTTCAATCCACACTCAATCAGCGATGGCCCGAACACGGCACCGGCATGCTCTGGACAGGACACCTCGAACAACTGCCAAGGAGAAGCTTACACAGCTCCTGAAAATCATGGCATGTCCTTTCCCTGTTCTTCAGTCTGGGAAGGTGCCTCAGGGCTCCCTCTGTCTTTAGCCAGTGCAGTGGTCCGAGCGCCAGAGGACAGCTCAGGAGTATGGTTCCCGGTGCGGTCCGGGCAGTCGTCAGCAGTCCTGGCCACGTGCTCTCAGGGGAGCTCAAAGATGCAGTGGTGGCGGACACACTGGATGGGACCTCCCACCTCACAGCCACTGTACAGTGCAGGAGACTGACTGAGATGGTGAGAGCTGGTGGGAGAAATACGGGTGCACCAAGACAGGCCTTGATCTCTACCGAGGGTCTGAAAGAGCTTCCCTGTGCAGAGGGTGGTTTAGCTGCCTCCAAAGGAGGAAGAAGTTGGCCTTCGACAAGGCAAGGAGAGGAGCTGCTGGCAGGGGGAGTGATTAGTGCAAAACCCTGAGGTATAAAACATCAGGTACATTCAAGGGCCTCAGACATTGCTCTGCAGCCTCCCTGTTTCACACCCAGCAGAGTGAGTTCTGACTGGGCACTAGGCCTGTGCCTGGCCTTGCAGGCCCAGAGGAGAATAAGGCAGTGTCCTGTTCCTATGGCCTCACGGTCTGCATGGGTAGCCAGACGATAAGCCCTAAATAAAGTGTGGTAGCAAGGATGAGGATCTGCCCAGCACATCCTGGAGCACAGTTGGCAGCCAGCAGACCCAGTGTGGAGGGGGAAGGTGCTTCCAGGAAAGCCTGTGAGGAGAAGACGACAGCTGAGCAGAGTCTCAAAGGAGCGGGGCACAGGGGAAAACAGGGGAGGGCACCCTGCAAGGGACCGGGGCTTGCAGTCCCCACCTCCAGCAAAGAATGTGGGGCATGGAGGCCACACTGCCTGGCTGGGGCTCCAGCTTGCGAGGAGGCTGAGAGAAAAGGCTGCCAGACCCAGTTCCAGATGCCCAACTGTGAAGTGAAGTTTTATCAATGCCAGAGGGAGTCATTGGAGGTCACTGCAAGGAGGGAGGCTAGAGCAGGTTCAAGGTTTCAGCAGCTCCATGTGGCAATGACAACAGGGTGGACACAGGACTGGAGCAGAGGGCCCCAGTCCCCTGTGATCTGGGCAGACAGTGACACAGGCATGGGATGGGCTGTAAAAGGGCCTGAGTGTTAGGGTCACTGGAGAGATGAAACCTCAGGACTCACTACTCATGGCTCATGGGACATGGCTCAGAGAGAGAGGAGCAAAAGATGCAGTCAGGGTTGGGCTATTACTGGCTAGGTTGGTGCAGGTAGATTTCTCTAAGAGGAGGAGGAATTAAGGAGGACCACTTTGGGGAATTAGGTAGGTAGAGAGGGCATCCCAGACAAGCTGTCCCTCCTCTGATAAAAGTGGAGAATGGTGTATATTTGGCACTCAGGAAAATTCTGCTGCCATTCATAGCCGTTGGCCATTAAATTGGACATTTAAAGGGCCAATGAGAAATGGAAATTGGACCCTGGTTATCAAAGGAGTCAGCTCTTCCCATCTGCGGGGGGGGGGCCCTCTGCAGGGGATAATGTATGCAGAGGCCCCTGTGGGGAAGAAGTGAGGGAGCAAGGACACAGGACATACCATTTCTCTTTGACCCTGGCAAACCTGGGAGTGGATCTCTTTGTGCTTTTTTACTATGTGATGGTCAGTGGCTGCCTGCTGTCCAGAGGGTAGAATGCAGGTGTGAACAGATGTGAACAGTGGCACTATCCATCCTGCTCCAAAGTTGGGGAGGCAGGGACTAGTACTGACCCAGATCCTTCCCAGAAGCCAAGGGGTCTGGGACTCACTGAGCCCAGCCCATGGCTGCCACTAAACTTACAGCCCTGGCTCTCCTTTGGGTGATGTGCCTCGGGGGCAGACTTGTGGTGTACATCCCAGAACAGAGCACCGTGGCTTATTCTGAAAATGAGCCTGCTCCTTCACTGTGCTCCAGCTCATTAGCAGTGTAAGCAGTGAATTTCTGGGCTGAGAAAGCCATCTAGGGCTGCCAGGAACTCTGCCTGCCAACACAGGGCCTCAGCGTCCCTCATGAGCGCTGACACGGGACTGAGGGGATGGCAACCTGCCTGGTAACACCTAGGTGGTCCCGCAAAAGTGGCCTTGGGAACTGGCTGGCTCACTACTTGGCCAAAGGACCACACTTTGGAGACCTTGGGCAGCACATAGCTTGGGGATCCACGCTGGTGGCTTTCCTGCTTCCTCAAGACTAAATGGGTCATCATGTGCTTCAAGAGCTGAGCTCAAGGAGAGGATGTGACTTTCCTCGCCTCCACAGGATCTCTCAAGATTCCCTCAGCCAGCTCTGTGCTCCGCCCTGGGCTCTTCCCTCTGAGGGCTGGTTCTGATTCACCCCTGAACACAGGTAAACTCTCCATGTACCCAGGGAGGAAGGAGGCAGGGGCTCCTACTTCTCCGCAAACTCTTTTAGGATCAGGTGTCTGTGAGCAGACCCCATCCTGCTTTGGAAGAAGTAGGCCTGGCCAGCTGCTGCTGCTCATTGATCTAGAAGAGTCAGCGTGGATGTACTAGAGGACCCTCCTCCTCCTCCGGAGTATATGCCTCTTCATTTTGTCAGCCTTGGGGGTATCTTGGCTGGGACCGATGGCTGAGTCCCTGCTTGAAATGAGCAGTATGCTCAAGGACACAGAGTCACCTTCTTTAAAGGGAGAGAAGGCCGGAATGCTCCCGTTGGAACAAAATCCCTAAATTTGGCCAGTGCAAGTCCCCCCCACGAGCATGGACATCACCTGAGGATTTGGCCAAGTATGCAGTCTGCCCATAGGGAAAGTCTGAAAGAAAGAGGAGCCCTCTCCCTTCTTGCTGGCCTGGGGTGGACAGTGTAAGCTGGGTGAGTACCTGGCAGGGAGCTAGGCCCCTAGAGAGCTGTACCTGGAAGGCATAATGCTGGACCACAAGGCACTGTGAGTACAGGGTACTGGCTGGGATGCAGCTAAGATATCATTGCCTGGGTTCGGGATGGGGAGAGAGAACCACAACTGGACCCATGCTGTTGGTACAACACAGGGACACACAATCACCAGAAAGTGCTACCTCAGTATGGACGCCTGGATGGCAAACATGTGGGGAGGGCAAGAGGAGAAGGGTTGGGGGGCATCAGAAAAGCAAGATCCATCTCCAGGTAGCCCCAGAATTACTCTACCACCTTGTGGCTGTGGGATGATACTCCCTGGCTTGATAGGGTCTCTTCTAACCTCTCTAAGCTTCAGTTCCCCTGCCTGTTACACCAGGTAACAGGGTGTATTAGTCAGAGTTCTTCCATGTGTGCACACAGGTGGGTGTGTGTGTGTGTGTGTGTGTGTGTGTGTGTAATAATAGGATCTGACTGGGCAAGTCATCATCTGTAGGGCAGGCCAGTGGGCTGAAAACTCAGGTAGGAGCTGGAGCTGCAGTCCACAGATGGAATGTTTTCTTCTCTAGGCTTTTCAGCTGACTGGATGAAGCCCACCAGGAATATCAAGGATAATCTCCTTTTCGTAAGTCAGTTGATTGCAGATGTGAATCACAGTTACAAAACACTGCCAAAGCAACACCTAGATTAGTGTTGGATTGACTCACCTCCAACAGTAACCCTGCCCAGTGAATACATAACCCGGACCATCAGCTCCTGCTCGTGAGTAGACAGGAAGCCCCAGGCACATAGCCCTGATATCCCCAGGAGAGGGTTTGTGAACCAAAGTTCTGTAGAAGCCACATCTATCCTGAAGAGCCTTAGACAAACTAGATGATCATGACTATAGAGAGGGAGTGTTGTAGATCAAGAGCCAATTGATTTTAGTCACTTTTCATAGCCATTTTAAAAAATCAATCCCAGCATCTGCCCTACCATCCTCATGACTACTATATAAGGCTCTTGGAACACAGAGCTAAGCTTACCCCACCTCTGTCCTCTACAGAATGCTATAAGATAGCATCTAAACTTATAGAAGAAATTCCCCTGCCTTGCTGTTACCTCCTTGTCTTAGTCACTTTCCTCAGGGCTGAAACAACATACCCAATATCCACAGCTTAAAGGAGGAGAGGTTCATTTTGGCTCATGGTTTTTAGAGGATTCAGTCTGTAGCCAGCTGATTCCAAGACAGAGAGGGCAGAGCAGAAGGGTATGGTGGAAACAAGCTGCTCCCATCACAGTGGCCAGGAAGCAGAAAACCAAGGGAGGAGCCAGGGAGGGCGACACACCTTTCCAGTCCCCACCACAGTGGTCCACCACCAACTGGGCTCTGCCTCCTGCAGTCAGCTGTAGGAGTCAGCTGTAGCACCCCAAGATCCAATCACTTCCGCAGACGTGAGAGCCTGGGGGAAATCTTAGATCTAACCCTACCATCTGCCCACCTGATGGTCCCCCGATGTCACTGATAAATGTAGTGACCTGACTTTCTTTGTTCTGTGACTGTAAAACCCGTAGAATCTCTTTCCTGGAGGAACGTGTCATTTAGGACAACTGGAATTGGTGTTCCTGGGGTATGTGCATTCATATTTTGCCCAAATAAGCTGTTTTCTTGTTTCCTTTAAGACAGAATCTATTACTTTATATGAATATGCTCCAGCCTGGCATCTGTGTGATTAAGTAGAGCAGGCAGGCCGGGGGCCGGATTGGGGTGGTAAATTGGGGGATGGGTTAAGAAAAGTTTTAGCCCAGGGGACGGAACAAGATTTGGAGCTTACTTACCTACAGAGGAGGGATAGTTGTCCCACAGAGTCACCATGGGGTGGTGCAGGGGTTTCTGTGGCTTCTGCCAGTTGTACTTCACCCCTGGGCCCTTCTCTGTGAGAGCCAGGTCTTAGGGAATATGCCCAAACCTGTTCTCAGCCAGCTAAACCTGTAGCTTGGATGTGGCAGCTTTCCCCTATGGATTTGGGCCAGCTTTCTAAAAAAGTAAAATTGATGTATGAAACACATGCAAGTTATATACAGTATTACACATACAATAACTTTCCTCACCTGTGAAATGAGGTTGTACTGCCAACCTCATAGAGTTACTAGGAGAAGTAAACTCAGGTACAGGAAGTGGGGTGTGATTTACATGCAAAAAATGATGGACATCATTAAGAACCATAATTATTCAGAGCCAGCTTGACCCTGACCTCTGAGCAATATGCTTTTCACACATCAGCCACGAGCTAAGATAATAAGTCAGATTCTTAATTTCAGGGCTTGACACTGGCTTGGAAAATTGTGTGTCCTGTGTATTCTACAGCAAAACTACCTTTGACTTTTGCTCAGCTCCTCAGAGAATCAAGAACCTCTGGGTGTATGGCCTGGATATTCAGGTAGAGTTATTTCAGTGGGGTTTGGGCTGTAAGCCCGGATGATGCCTCTTTACACGTAAATAATCCAATCACAGAAAGATTTTGGCAACTGCAACCACATGTTTGTGGGCTTTGGATAAAGCTTCTCTCCTTCCTGTAAATAAATTGTGCAAGAAAAGGCCCTGAAGATATTCCCAGTGTGGGGCCGCAATGTGAACAGTTGCCGGCCTGCGTTGGCATTTCCACCTCAGAGGCAGAGTCCGCACTTGTGGAGGGAGACGATGCGGGCTCGCAGGGAGTGCTGAGGGAATTCCCCTGGACGGCACTTTCCTCTCCGCACTTGCGTCCTGCCTGAGCGCTGCGCCTTTAAACTCCGCTCGGGGCTCGGTGTCAGCGGCCCAGAGGCACTCGTAGAGGTGAGCGCTGGACTGGGACGCTGGGTTTGGAGTAGGACCTTCAGTGCGAGGCGAGACTCCCACTTTTCCGGCTCGCTCGGACTGGCGGGCAATGCTCTGCAGACCCTGAGCCAGCACCACCCCGACTCTGAGGCCGAGCACCCTGCGCCACCAGCCATGAGCAGCTTCCAGCTGGAAGACTTTGCGGCGGGCTGGATCGGAGGTGAGCGCGCTGGCGAGGGTCCCTCCGAGCAGGGCCGCGAACGCCGCACTCCCAGTCGGGAAGCTTCACTCCCCCTGCGCTTCCGGGTGGTCTTGCAGTCCCTTGCCCTCTACCGGGGCTGAACTCCTCAAGCTTCACCCTGAGCTGATTTGCCTCTGCATTAGGACCCGAGGAACTCGAACCAGTGCTGATTAAACGGTCCTGCGGAGCCGACAGCCAACGGGGCCTCCGGGGTGCGCACACCCTTCGGCGACCCGGTGTGTTCCTGAATTTGGGGACCTGGCGTGCGGGACCTTGGGTGTAGGTTGACGCTTGGCTCTGAATACCCGGCGCAGGGTAGTGAGGAGCCGGACTGCGAGGTCAGTTTGGCTATAGCGGGCGCCCCGGCTGGAGAGAGCAGAGGTCTAGGCTGGAGGCGCCCACGGACATCTGGGAGGAGCGCTTCCCGCGGTCAGCCGGCAGCCAAGGCCTTTCTTCAAGGCTCCTCAGTCTGCAGCTTTCGGGCCCACTGGTCTTTTCACCACCCCTCCCTGAACTTCTCATACCCTCCACTTATACCTCCCTCAGGTATTGGGGCAGCAGGCGTTTCAGGGATTTTTGCTTATTAAAAGAAAATCATTTTGACCCACCTAAGGATTATCCTAAGAGGGATGTTGTTAAATGCAGCCCCTTGTCAAAGAATGAAAGAAAAAAAAAACTCCTAAGATTAAAAGAGCAACAAGCCACATAAGACTCCCGGTCCTCCCTCCACCCAGCAGGAAGCCACCTCTCCCCCAGCCCCCACGGGTGGCAGCAAGGGCCTTGCCCCATACCTCATACCTCTGGAAAGAGCAAAGGCAGCTCTTTCCATGGTGGTGGGCAGTTCTGTTGGCATGGGAACCCATGAGTGGGGCTGAGTTTTGACTTTACTAGCCAGAGGCCTGCAGCCAGACACCTCCTGGGTGTATCCAGTCGCTCCTGGGCTGGACAATCCTTCCACCTTGGAAGGCCAGGTAGATAGAGGAGACCTTCCGACAGCTGCCCCTTATATATCAAACCAGTTGCAGTGGGTCTGCAGGTGGCTTAGTTTGTGAGCTGCCCTGGAGGGTAGGCTGAGTCAGAGTAGCTCCAGCCCCTGATTAGACAGGCCTCCCCTTTCTCTCCTCTGTTCTGAGATTTTCCTTACTTTGTTGATGCTAACATATTTGTTTTACCTCCATGAAATGATGGTGAGTGTAGTGACACAGGGTTTAGCAGGTGCCAGGTGCTGTTTAACTGTGCTACGTATATTTTAAAAGCAATTTTATCGAGGCACTTTTATATATCATAGAATTCTTCCATTTTAAGCATGTAATTAAATGATTAAATTTACCAACTGCAACCATTGGTATAAGTTGGTTATAGAGTATTTTTATTCCCCTGGGAGGATCTCTCATGCCCAGTCCTGCCCCGAAGGAAATGACTTTCCATAAATCTTTCTTGAATATTTCATTGATTGACTCCTGCCAATTGTGATCCCTTGTGTCTCTTTATGTGTATATTTTTTATTATTATTATAAGCACTCCAATGAGATATGCACTGTTACATCCTCACTTTACAGATGGGATCTTACAGAGAAATCCAGTGGGTTGAGTAGAACCATGCGTTTACATGGGACAGGGATTCTAACCCAGGTAATCTAACCCTAAGGTCTGCCATGGTCTTAGCCTTGGGATTTATCTATAGCTGTTGCCTTTCTTAATGACCTTACATGACAAATTTTACCATGATACCCTCCACTTCTGTTTGAAATCATACACGTCTCTTAGATCGCAAGGCCTAGAAACTACTGGCCTGATAATCCTATTTTTTAATTTGGCACCCCTCCTTTCAGATGAGTAGACCAATGAGCTTGAGCAGGAAATGCTGGCCTAAGGCTGAATCTGAGGTGTTGCTGTGTCTGAGGGGTTCCTGCATCCATTATGGCGGACAGTGGCGCCTAAGGACCAGAACTCCTTCTTCCTTTCCGGGTATTGTCCTGCAGAGTGAGGCTGAATTCGCCAGCTTCCACTGCCTATCAGCTCTCTGTCTCTGCGAGAAGGTAGGGAGAAAGGAGGAGATAAAAGAGAACAGGCAGTTCTGGGTCAAGAGAGCAATTGTTCTGGAATTAGTTGGTTTCTCTGTCCCTGTAAATAAGTGGTACCTCGGTTCATGAACTTAATTTTTTCTACATTTCTGGTCACAGTACCTAGTATTCGGGCCTCTTACTTAGCTCACCTGCTTAAACCATCTCCACAGACAGAAATGCTGGGGAATTTCTCTTGGAAGAGTGGCTCCTGTTTCAATCTCTGTCACCAGCTTCGGTAACAAGGCCTTCTTCGTTTAGGTGGTCTCGGGATAGATGTGCTTACTTCCAATTTTTGCAGGCCTTTGTGAGTACGTGTGTGGAGAGACATTTCCCTGTGGAAAGATCCAGCATATGCAATGTCTTTCAAAAGGAAGCTGCTTAATTTGCAAACAGAAGTAAAATTTAACTTGGGCCATTTTTATGAATGCTTATATTTTTAAAAGTCAGAACATAAACTCAACTACTCAAAAGTAAACGGCTAATTTATGTAACTAGGGGCTTTCTAACAGAGTAGACCAAAGAAGGCAACTGTGTAGCCAATCAAGTGCTGTGGTGTGCAGGTGAGGTTTTGATCAGTGGTGGACCATGCACGTAGCGTGTGCTAGGTCTGTCATCCAGGTCTGAGTAAGCTCATGTATGCTGTGATGTTTGCACAAGGTGAAGTCCCCTAACAATGCATTTCTCAGACTACAACCCTGTCATTAAATGACACGCGACATGTTTTCTCTCCTTTATTTGAGAGTCGATCCTACTAGAAGCCCCCTTCTCGTGTTCCTTTGGTGGAGGTCCTGAGCTACTCTTGCTATGGAGTTACCTGACTTGTGAGCAGTTGTTCATTCAACTACATACTTTTAAATGTTATTGTGTTTCAGTTTGCTTCTTCAAATGACAAAACAATGTCCTGTAGCTATCAGATAGTCACTCCTAATTCCCTCTGGGCCCAGCCCTAGCAAACTTTAATCTGCTTTCTGCTTTTACAGATTGATCTATTCCGGAAAATTTACATAAATGGTATTGTACAGTATGTTGCCTTTGTGGTTGGCCTCTTTCACATAGCTTATTTTTTGTTTTTGAGATGCTTCCATGTGGTAACATGTATTAGTATTTTATTACTATTTGTAGCTAAATAGTATTTCATTGTATGTCATTTTATTCATCACACATCAGTTGATACGCAATTGGGTTGTTTCTACCTTTTGGATATTGTGAATAATGCTGCCATAAGCATGTGTTTGTTTTCAGTTCTTGGGTAGATCTTGCTGGGTCATGTAGTAATTCTATGCTTCCTTTTTTTTTGAGAAATTGCCAAACTATTTTCTACAATGCCTGTACTATTTTACATTCCTATCAGCAATGTACAAGAGTTCTAACTTCTCAGCATCTTTGCCAACACTTGTTATTATCCTTTATTATTTTAACCATCCTAGTGAATGCAAAGTGGTATTTTACCATGATTTTGATTTGCATTTCCCTAATGACTAAGCTGCTAAGCATCTATTAATGTGCCTTTTACCCATTTTTGTGTCTTCATTAGAGAAATGTCTGTTTGATTTCTTAGCCCTTTTAAACATTATTTTAGTTGTAAGTGCTCTGTATATATTCTGGATAGTAAGCCCTTATCAAAAATATGATTTGCAAATATCTTCTTCCTGTCTGTTGTTTGTCTTCACTATCTTTAGAGTGTTATATGTACACAAAAGCTTTTATATTTATGAAGGTGGTCCATCAATTTTTTCTTTTTTTATGCTTTTGGTGTCAATTCCCTTTGCAAATCCCAAGTCATGAAGCTTTTTCACTATGTCTTAGTCTAAGAGCTTTGTAGTTTTATTGTTTAAGGCTTTGATCTATTTTGAATTAATTTTTGTATACAGTCTGAAGTACGGGAATAACCCTTTCTTTCACATGTAGACATTCTGTTGTCTCAGCACCTTACTTCTCTTTATGGGGGTTGCTCCTGGAGTTAGGGCTCTTGATTTGACTCCATTTTCTCTACTTTAAATGGTACTGGGCTAGTGCTTAGCATGTTGGAAGCCACCCCTAGCAACTGATAATTGACTGAATGGGCAAATGCATGTGTCTGAGCTGCTTCCCTTTTCCAAGATCCAGCTGCTACAAACTGGGAGTCTTGGGTCCTGGTGACCAGATATTCTTCTTTGATCTACAGGAACAGCCAGTGTCATTGTTGGCCACCCTCTGGACACAGTCAAGGTACAGTAGCAATGTTTTCCATCACTTCAGAAAAGGCCTGGAGCAGGCCTGTTTCAGAGTACCATGCCTGCTGTTTCTGATCACCCTGAGAGTCTCCAGTCTGGGGCAGACTCTCCACCACTCCGGGAGAGGGTGGGCAGCATCTCAGGAGGCCTGGCTGGGAGCGGCTCTCCCCTCACTACCTAGCAATGATTTTGTTTCTGTGATTGTCCTAGTTCTGTCTGCAGTCTTGATGAGTTGATGAAGAAAGAGACAGGATACTAGTGAGTGTGCTCCTCTAAGTCTCTGTGGGGCTGAGTAACCAGAAAAGGGTTCAAAAGTAAGGTGGTGTCTTAGCCCAAAATGTAAGATTGGGTTTCAGGTGATTAGAAAAGATATACCAGGCACAGGGGACAACATGGGCAAAGGCACTGAGGTGGGGGCATTAAGGGGGCTGTGCTTGGGAAAGGCCAGCGTGGCCAGTTTTGTTGGTGCACCAGGTTCCCAAAGCAGCATCTAGGCAGGCACTCAGCACTCAGTCCTAGGGAAATTAACTCTCAGGTTAGGACTTTGAACCTAGTTGGGGGGGGCACTGTAAGTCCAATAAGGATCCAGAGCATGGGATGTACCCCTGAAAGGGGAAGGGGGCTTGTCTGAGGAGTGAAATGCTACAAATGAGCCCTCATTCACCCCACCCCATACTTGCCACCTGTCCCTACTAGTGAGCAGGACTCAGTTACATCCTGAGAAGGTGGCCATAAAAAATGCCTCTTGACCCTCAACTTCCAAATCTATTTCTAAAACTCTGCCTGTACTACACACAAAGAGGAACATATCAGGCTTGCTGCAACTTCCTTTCTTTTTTTTTTTTATTGAGTTTATTGGTACATTCTAGGTATACAATACAGTTACATTCATTACTGGGATCTTGTACCTTTACATGACAGGTCTTAGTTCTCATTTTTTCCCCTTGTTCCTGCCCTCCCTTTACCCCCTCCTCCACTCCCCATTTACAAACACTTTATTTCCATTTTTTCATTTTCTCATATTTTTTTCTTTTCCCTTATTCCCTTTCCCACTTTCCCTACACCTTTAGTCCTTTTCTTCCTATTTCACATTGTTAATTATCTCATTAGGATCTTGTGTACTATTATAGTTTTTCATACCAGAGAAACTATTTGGTATTTACATGTGTGACTTATATATTTCACTTAGGAGTATATCCTCAAAATGTATCCATTTTCCTATGAATGACTCTAATTTCTCATTCTTTGTGGCTGAGTAGCATTCCATTTTATAGAAAAACCACATCTTCTTTATCCAGTTTCCTACTGATGGGCAAATGGGCTGTTTCCATGTTTTAGCTATTACAAACTGTGCCACTGTAAAAATAGGTGCGCATATGTCACTGTGATAGGCCCCTTTTAGATCCAAGCACAGGCCCCCTCTCTTCTTGGTGGGGACATCACCCTACTTGTCTTAAATATTCAAAGAAATCAAACTGCGGGTGGCTTAGGGCCCCCTGGAAAATGTCCTAACTCAAGAGGATAGCACACAGGGCCCAGTGCTAACCAGTGAGCACATTTGGAAAGGAGGAAAGCAGGCTCAGTCCTCCCATCCTGGGGTTTTGATGAGCTTCCCACTGTGTACAGGAGAGTGAGATTTAGGGTGCAGGAACCTGTCCTACTTCAGAGCTGGGCTAGGTTGGAGCTCAAAGCCCCAAAAGTGAACTTGGTCCCCAGTTAGCCTCCCTTATTGATCAGTGCCCTCTCTACATTTGGAACTCTGTAACAGACTGGAGCCCAGTAGAGGTTTCCTGAACAAAAGAAGGTGGTTTTAGAACCACTTCCTTAAAGAAAAATAGCATCATGATGATGCTGATCTGCCACACCCAGGCAGGTGGGTGGATAACACTCCCAGCCACTGTAGATGGGTGGGTTCTGGCATCGCCTCCCCTTTGGGAAATCATTCTTTAGGCCAGGTGTTGTCCTTGGCTAGTTGAGATCCTCAGCTATTTGGGCAGAGGCCTGTGCCCTCTCCTTGCCCGGGCATCCAGAATGGACTCCAGAGGTACAAAGGGTTTGGATGCAGGAGGCTTGTGAGAAGGGTGGGGGGCTGCTGCAGATGCCAGCACCAGGGCATCCTGGAAACCTTGCCTATCCACATTCCCCAGTGAGAGCTGAGCTGCTGAGGTCCAGTTCTTAGGAGCATTTGCAGAGAAAGGCTTCTCGGGCTCTTATTAGATGAATGATTTGTGGCCATTTTCATACAGTGTAGGGACTTTAGAAAACATGTACAGCATTTGTATGTAAATGGATTGGTGCCTTAGACTTGCAAGGGCTAAAATCACATAGTCATTGTCCTCAGACAATGGGCCCTCAGTAAAGTTCTCATTATTTATTGAGCACCTACTGAATGAACTGTACAAGACCTGGTTATTTCATGTCAAGCTGGTCCTGGTGCCTGGTGCCCCTGCAAGTTGTTGTATCAGGCTCACCTGGACAGCCCCAGATTCCTCCTCTCCAAGAGACAATGGTTCAAGAAGCCTGGAGTGGGTCTGTGAATGCATGGGAAAAAAGCTCAGCCTGACAGGAGGTTCTGTGACAGGGTTTCTGAGGACCATGAGGGCTGTCAGTCCCCACAATTACTGCTAGAACTATGGGGCAAGGCATGGAACCTACCAGTGGACCAGGGACAGGAACCAGTTTGGGACACCTAGGAGAGTATGTGTGCTCCAAGGAAGGCCCAGACCTTGGCTCCCCACCCTTATGATCAGGTGAATTAGGAGGTTGCTTGGTAGAAGTAGTCTGGTTGGCAGAAGTACTACAATGCCAGGCACTTGTCTGAGTGCTAAGAGAAGGTGGCAGAAGGAGGCTGGCAAGCTGGGCAAGAAATCTCATTCTTTTATGGGAGAAGGAAGTGTCAGATGCAGAAGATGCCCTCAGAGCTGACGCGGAGACTCTGAGCAAGAGAGGCTGGGTTCTTATCCACACAGTCCCTATGTGCTGGGACTACTAGCTGACCAAAGTTTGAGGGAGGAGGGCAAGTTGACAGATCTGTATAGGACAGTGATAGACAAAAATGAGAGCACACAGCAAGTGGCACAAGGGATTTGCAGGTGGTGGGTGCTAGGGAGACAGTAACACAAGATGATGGCAGAGAGTGACTACAGGCTTCCTGTGGGGAAGGGCCAGACATGGCCTCTGCACAGGAGACAGCCAAGTTAGATCCCAGGGACACAAAGAGCTGGGTCAAAGTGCTTATGGGAAACTCCTAAAGTTAGGAACAGACCTCATTATGTTCTCAAGGAGTGCGAAGGCCAGTGTGAGTGCCTTGAGTGTAGTGAGGTGAGAGGGAGCGTAGTGTGGCTGCTGGGAGAAGCTCGGAGAGAATGGGATGGCCTGGTAGACCGGGGCTGCCCTTTGCTAGACCTGCACAGCCAGGCCCTGGTTCCCAGAGCCCACCAAGGAGGGCTCTGGAGCAAGCTCACATGTGACATGGCCTGACCAGCACCTCAAAGCTATCCAGAAGTAGGGCCCATTCCAAGTGATCCTCAGCACACTCCAGAGCCAAGCCAGACTCTCTGAGACCTTCCCTGCCTCTGTGGCAGCTGCAGATACCCATTGAGATCTCACTGGCCTTCACGAGGTCTGGCCAGTTGTCCTGCCCAGGACTGGACTTCTCTTGCCCATGGCTTCTACCTGTATCACATGCAGGGCACATCTCAGCACAGAGCGGGGCACCAGTCTGATGTGTACCTGCTGAGTGAGTGTCTGTCCCAGATCTCACCCCAGCACATGGTGCCTGTGGAATACCTCTCCAGAGCACCTAATTCCTTCCCAGTCATCCCCAGTGAGAATTCCTGGCCTCAGAAATGTGATGGATTGGAAAGCAGCAGGCTCAGACAGAAAGCAAGGGCCTTGGAACCATGCAGGTCTAAGTCCTGCCTGCCATTTCCTGCTTGCATAGCCTTCTATTAAACAGACTGTTAATCCCTAGGGTAAATATGAAAGTGGTGCTCCTAGTACCCAGTGGGCATTCAGAATTAGAAGCCGGTATTTCTACCAATGTCATTCTATAAAATGTTTCTCCAAATTTGGAGAACAAAAGTCTCTGACTTAACTGGTATGTATAAATTTCTCTTCTGGGGATCTATGGGGGATATTCAAAAGATGGGCAGTCATTCTCTCAAGTGGCTTCCCCAGTTGCTTGACCATGGAGCTGCTCGTCAGGTGTCCCCCTGGGGACAACCAGAAAGGAAAAAGCTGGCTGCTCCTCTAGATCGATTTGGTTAAAAGTGTATCAGGAACAAATTCTTGTTGAATAGAATGTGAAATTTAACTATAGAAAATTAGGGGTGTATTAGTTTCCCTGAGCTAAAACTTGCCACGAAGTGGGTGGCTTAAAAAAAAAGAAATTTATACTCTCATAGTTCCAGCAACGGAAGGCTCAAAATCAAGGTGTTGGTCCCTTCTGGAGGCTTGGAGAGAGACTCCAGTCTAGTGCTTCTCCTGGCTTCTGCTGGTTACTGCAGCCCTTGGTATTCTAGGGTTGTGATTCTGTCTCTAGCTTGTCTGTCTTCCGTAGCCTTGCCCTCTGTGTGTCTGTGTGTCGAGGATACCAGTCACTGCATTTTGGCCACCAGGGGAATAAGCCCCTCGTTTTGGCACCGGCAAGCCTGGCCTCCATTTACCTGAAGAGGCTTGGGTCCTCTTCCTTCTCTCTACTCCACCCCTGCACCACAGAGGGGAACCCATCCTGAGACATGAAACACAGTCTGTATTCAGCCTGAGAAGCTCTTGCCCAGGTGCCAGCCTGGCAGTATGGCTCACGTGGCCTGCCTTGAGTTCAGCCCCAGGATAGGGCACTGGGCCTTTATTTGCTCTGGAACATCTGCCTGCCTTTCTTCCCCTGACATTTTCTCCAGAGTTTCTGCCCACCAAGAAAGGCCTGGGCAAGTACAAGTAGCCTGAAGTTCATTTCTGGCCTCATCCTCAACTCCTCTGTGACCCAGAACGTAGCAAGTAGACTCCCTGAGCCTAAAATGGGCGGGGACACAAGGTACTTCCCTAGCAAGTCTGTCGTGAAGGTTGTTCATAGAGACTCTGAAGACAAAGCAATGAGCAACATGACCCCACCCTGATGAACACATTTGGCAGGGCACAGGAAGCAGATGCCTGACTTGCCTGAAGTCTCAGGGCTCGCCCATGGGAGGGCCAACTACCAGGACCTGTGCTGCTGACCAGATCAAAGGCGGCTTCCCCTTCCCTGGGCTGCCGATGACAGGCGTAGGAAACAGCTGCTAGCTACTCAATAGCATGGAGCTGAGATTTCTGGCATCTAGAACTGTATGGGAATAGACTCATTGTTTTGAGCAGCAATAAGAAACTAATACAGGGAGTTAGCTTTGTTCATCTGTGTAGCATGGGTGGTATCCGTGTTTCACCACATTTGGAGGATTCGGCAAGGCATCGACAAGATGCCTATATGTATTTGGTGTACACTAAATGCCAGCTTCCACTATAATTGGGGCTCCGGAGCCCTCCGTGCCATGCTGAGGGATTGGCAACTGGCAGACTTTTGCTTTGTAGCTTTGAAATGAGTCCATGGTTCAGTTTTGCTCTTGGGTCAAGTCACCTCTTGTACCCTTTGCCTGAGTGGTTTGACCACAAAAGCTTCGTGGGAGCCTGATTTCCAGGCAGGGGCAGGGGGCATCTACCACTCTCACTACACAGGGAGAACCCTGGCAATGTGGGACCATCAGGGGATAATGCTGGGCCTCGTGCTAGCTTTAAGTGGGGTGCAAAGAGAGACCTACATTGTCCCCTTTGGACAATGTTGAGCTGATTGGGGATACCCCACCCCGAGGTAGACTTCTGTGGTTCTGCTTGACGAGAAGACCATGCAGGCCAGTTTCCATCTTCCATCTTCTCCCTGGAAGTCTCTCCTACCTCCTAATTTAACAGTGCATTTTCTTTTGCCACCACCCAGCCCCTCTGATCTTTAGATTATTTTTCTCCATAGCACTTATCATCATAAAGCACCTATATTTACTTGGGAATTTTTTTTATATGAGTTCCCTCAGGTCAGAGACTTTGTCATCTTTATTGCTTAATTCTCTGAGCTTGGGACAAACTACTCTGATCCAGTCTCTCAACAGATATTTGGCGTTTTTAAAAATTAATTTTATTGATATATTTTAGTTGTACAGTTATTCATCAAATGAGTTCATAAATACATTTCTCTGGTTATGAAAGTCCTACTTAGGAACAGTGTGGTACCATCTCCTATATATTGTCTATGGCTACAAATGTTTATAAAAATAGGTGGGTGCCAATTACACTCTTGCTTATGCTATTTTTCATAGTCATTGCATAGATCAAAGGAGATTTTTTAGCCTTACAAGTGATATTGAAACTTTTATTGAGAGAATATGTTCTCATTTCGTTGTATAGTTGAAATTATTTTTAAAGCCACACAAGCTAAAAATAATGAAAGTTGGAACTGGAGACAAATTCCATGCAGGAAAGTCCCATCTGGGAGACTGCCACTTTGATGGCGTGTACTCCTCCAGGGGCTTCTCCACTTGACTCAGAGTTGAGCTCAGACAGTGTGGGGGAAGAATTAGTCATTAGTTCCTCACTGCACCCTGCATGCTAGGACAGTGCCTGTGTCTCCTCCGCTATGGCTGTTACGGCTCCTTCCCACACAGGCAAGCATGCTGTGGGTGCTGGGAAAGTATTTATGGATAATTATTGGCCACTTAAAAGAAGTGGATCCTCTGAGACCAGGATACAGGATGCTGTGGGCAATTTTGTGATCTTCCTCAGACCCTCTGTGTCTGTCCACTGGTGCCCCTGGTCACCAAACCAGCCTCCCTTAGAGGACTTTATGCCTTCACCATTCAGCTTCTCATTTGGCCAGGGCAGAGCAGCCACTGTCACAGGGCTGCACTCAAGTCCAGGGACAAGAGGGAGGAAGACAGGTGGCCCTGCACTAGTGGGGTAATCCAACATAAGCCCTGCATAAGCAAACAGCTAAAACCCATGCAGAATTTAAGCTCAACCCAACAGAAGAGCTGGAGAAAGAGTCTTCCAGGGGGAGTGCGAACAGCCAGGGCAAAGGTCTGGAGATAAGAATGAATACTCCAGGGACCACAAATACACATGTGGTGGGTATGGAGGGCAGGGTAAGGGGAGGAAATGGCTTGTGGCATGGCCCCAGGGCCCCCTGAGCACAGATAAAAAGTGTGAAATGTGGTTTAAGTTTGATGGGTGGCCACTGGAGAGCTGTAAGCACAGTGAAATGGCTTTGGTGATGTTTGAAAAAGATCCGCCTGATGGTTGTGTTGAGAGAAGGGAACTGTGGCTGGGAGCAGGTGAGAGATGAAGAGAGCACAGACTAGGATGGTGGTTCCTTGGGCAAGAAGAGTAGGTCTTCTCAGGAATATTTAAGAGGCAAAGTGCTGCACAACAGGATAGAGGCCCATTTGGCTTTTTGTACTCAAGACAGAGGGCTTATACATCCAGTGCTATCATTTCTACATGCCTGACTGCCTCGGCCCTTCTCCCCAGAGAACCTGCAGTGAGCAGGTTTGAATGGGACATTAGGGGGAGTTTTGCATTCAGACCACAGAGTACCATGCTGGGCAACACTGAAACCTAGGCCTCCTTCCAGTGTAAGCAGCTTCAGACAGGGGTTTTCCCCTCTCTGGGCATCTTTTGGGGCTGTGGGGATGTCACTGATCTGAGTGGGTCCCACAACCTTGCCTCTCTCCACAGACTCGCCTGCAGGCTGGCATCGGCTACAGGAGCACCCTCAGCTGCATCCGCAGGGTATACAAGAGGGAGAGTGTAAGTGCCTTGGTGGGTGGCTGAAGTGAGGCCCGCCATGGCCTTCCCAGGACTGGGGGGCCAGGCCACAACTCCCATACCAGCATGGCGGGCAGGAGGTCATTAATTCCTGCCCCTCGTGGTTGGCCCAATTTTCCCTTTTTATCTCACATCACACCTCCAATATTACATTTTACCTTAACCTAACCTTGTTACCTAGTGTGACATTCTTGGGGATAAAATTGGTTTTGTGGAACTTCTCTGGAGAAATCCTGAGGAATTTAGAACCACAAGGTGGAAAATTCCTATAGATACAAGTCAGTTTATTTCAGCAGAAGGAATGTTGCCTCTATCTGCCAGAGCTCCCTGTAGACCCCAGAGCTCACTACCTGACCCTAGCTGTCTATTTTTCAAGTGGAAAATTGAATAACTTTTGGGGGGGAATACCATCAGTGACTTTCTTGAGAATTAGCATTTTTAAGACCCTTTTTTGGAGAATTTAGAATAAATTTTAGGATGAAAAGAACTGACAATGTAGGCTCCATGGCAGCCCTGTAGCTTTTCCTTGAGCCCCATGAAATATGGCCCCCTGAGACCATCTTCCCTACCCAGCTATGTGTAAAAGTGCCCTGGGTCTCAGAAGCCTCCTGCAAGCACCTTGAGATTGTCCACAGAAGTGTACCTTGCACCAAAGAGGGGGGTGGGGGACAATAAGGTACATCAAAGTATTAACTGTCTTAGTGGGCTGCTGTGAAATCAGGCTGAGCACTGACAACCCAGTGTCTGGTGTTCCAAGGCAAGTTGGCACAATTCCCCGATCCCCTGGAAGGCAGCCCTCGCTTCTCCCTTTTGGCATGTATCCATGCAGCATGCCAGCTCCTGGGCTTTTCTGGGGACTTTGGTGGTTTGTAGAACATCACAGACCCTAGCTAAGCAACTTCACATGTTATGTGAAGGACCTTGATAGGGAGAAAGAGCCTGAGGTGACAGGGTGTGGGCATGTGCATGTGTGTGCAATTACACACACGCGTAGGAGTTGCCCTGCCTCTGGCAACCAAGACACAGCACACATAGGATCATCTGATTTATGCAGTCTGCAGTTGGTAAAATGACTTCTGAGGACCTTTTGGCTTTAGCCTATGTGAGCCCTCCAAGGCCGCATGGAATTTTGCAGGTTTCCTCATAGAGTCTGTGGTGTTCATTGAGAATGCAGGATAGAAAGGACTCTGACCCCAGCTTGAGCCCCTCCCTCAGCCCTATCTGTGTGTGTTTAAATCCCTGCCTTTGTCCTTGAAGGCATCCCTGTGCACCACTCTATTAGGAGACACCTTTGCTCAGGGGCACCCGTCTGCAGGGTGGCCAGGTGCCCCTGCAGGACCTCCTTCTTACCCCTCACCACAGGCTTAGTGGATTGTGCTCTAATCGCCTGTCCATTTGTTTTCCCCTGTCCCTTTCCCCTCCTGTGCCTTGTTCCCAGGCAATGAGCTCAGTGCAAGTGAAGACTATTTCTTGCTGGTCCCCAGAGCTTGGCACTTAGCAAGAGCCTAGAGAATGCTTTGCATGGCAAATGAGAAGGTGCATGTGGTGTTCGCAGCCCACTGCGCCTCAGAGTTCCTCAGGGTCCCCTTGACTGGCCAGGCACTGCCATTCATGCGGCAGGTACACGCCCCCAGACAAGGACACCACCATACAGCATAGAAAGTGTCATGCAGAAGCTGTTCCTCCCCAGGGTGAGAATGTTTCCCGTGAGTTGTAAACGATCTTCCTCTGCCACTACTTCTCCTGTCTCAGTAGGTTCCTCTCCTGCACTCTTCACTCCCATGGTGGTTTATTCATCCTGAGTGTCTTCCCCCACCAGCCTCCACGCTGCAGGAGAGAAGGAAAAGTGCTCCATGCTTGGCCTGCGGGCCTGCATCCTGGGGATGCAGCCGTGGGCCTCATGATTCCTCCCACCGGTCTCACCACAGGTGTTCGGCTTCTTCAAGGGCATGTCCTTCCCCCTGGCCAGCATTGCTGTCTACAACTCGGTGGTGTTTGGGGTCTTCAGCAATATTCGGAGGTTCCTCGGCCAGCACCACTGTGAGGAGCCTGAGGCTGGCCCTCGCCACAGCCTGTCTGACCTGTTCCTGGCCAGCATGGTGGCCGGCGTGGTGTCTGTTGGGCTTGGGGGGCCCGTGGACCTGATCAAGATCCGGCTGCAGATGCAAACACAGCCAATTCGGGAAGGTAGGAGGCCAGGGAGGTAGGTGGAGGTGGTATCTGGGGACCTGTGACCCTTTCCTCGGTGGCTGGATCTGGAGTGCAATTTCTAGTATTAGTGTTACTGGGCAGGGCACTTGTGTGATCCTGCATTATTGTCATTATTTTCTATAGCAGTAAGTACCATTGGTCATACACTACTCTGTGCCAGGCACCCACTAAGAGCTCTGCATAGGTTCTGTTAATTCATCTTCCTCACAGTTCTGTGAACCAAGTGTTTGAACCCCATGAAACATGACCCCCTGGGACCATTTTCCTACCCAGCTATGTGTATTGAGTGCGCTGGGTCTCAGAAGCCTCCTGCAAGCACCTTGAGATTGTCTGTATTTTACAGATGACAAAAGTTCCTAGAGGCTAAGGTACTTTCTTAAGAACAGGTAGTAACTAGCACATGGGGATCTGCTACATAATTGGCAGCTCTCAGAGCAAAATGAAAATGCAAGGGTGCCTTGTTCAAACCTGAGTATGAATTTTACACTGGCCACAGCAAATCACCTACTCGGAACCAGCTCAGCCACCAATTCTCCCTCCCTAACAGGCAGGGCCTGTGGGTAGCCTGGGGCCTGGGTGTTCCCAGGAAGTGCGTCATTCCTGGGTGCCCATTGTTGCAGTCAGCTTGTGGGGAGATGCAAGACAACAGTGGGGAGGCACCAGGAAGATGGGGTAGGTGCATATTGCTTTCATCTACTGGATATACTGAGTCATGTTTTGGTACAGTTTAGTTTGTTCAGTGGCTGCACCTCTGAGAAATATTTGAAACTTTCAGATCTGGCCCTCCTCAGAGGAAAAAAAAAAAAAAACAAAAACAGCAAAGATATAGAGAGATGAAGGGCATTGTAAGCAGATTTAGAATTCAGACATCCTAACCCAAAGATGGCTATTGGTTCTGCCCTTTATGCTTCAGAAAAACTCTCCTTAGGTTTTGGCGCAGAGGGAAACTCTATAAGTCTAAAAACGCTTTGGGTTCCTGATCTCGGAAGAAGCTCAGGGATGAGGCCACTTGGCTACTGAGAGCAACCTACTGTCTTAGTTATTTTTCTCGTATACCCAATACTCAAAGTTAAAGGGGCAAGGATTTATTTGGCTTATAGTTTGTAGAGGTTCCATTCAGCTGGCTCCAAAGCAGGTGGCACAGCAGAGGGGCATCACAGAGGAGAAACAACCCTGGCAAAGCAGGGAAGGTAAAAGACCATAAGCAACAAGCAAGTGACAAGTAACAAAGAGCAAGCCTTTTTCTGTCCCTCATATCTTAGCCAGGATACCTGTCCTTAGGATGGGTAGCACTCACACCCTTAATCCTAACATAGGAGCCTTGATCCCAACATCACACACCCTACATCCAGCCACTTCTGAAAATCCCCACCTGTGGCTGCATGAGGCCTTTGGGGGACATCTAGATACAAACCATAATGCCTACCCTCTTCATTACATTTTCTTGGTGAGGACCTGGAGGACCGAGGGGTAGGTCTGGCCTGTGTGCATGTGTACATTGTGCATGTTGTGTGTCTTATTGGCTATTGGAGACAGTTTAGGGGGTCCTGAGGACTGGCTAGAAGTATCTGAAGCCTGGAGCAAAGGTGAGAGGTAGGGAGGGGAGTGATAGGGCCCAAGACTGGCCCCAAAGCTGGACATGCAGCTCCTGGCCAATGTTAGGGAGCTGAGAATCCACCAACAGCAGCTGTTGATGTTAAGTGCTCAGTACACCAGCCACTTTGTGAAGTGCTGTGCTCATATCATCTTGTCTGGCGTCCATCACAGCAGCATGAGCTAGGTATGGTTAGTATCTCTTCTTTTATCTAACAAAAATAGTATGCACCTACTGTGTGCCAGGCACAGAGCCACATGCTGGGGACATGGTAGCAGAGTGAACAATAACAACAAAAACTCCATACTTTCTTTTTCTTGGGTTGCTTCCAGCAGCGAACCAGAGAGAAATTGGGTCAGTACCATTTGTGACAGGTGGGCTAGTGAATGGGCCATTAGGCAGGCTGCTCAGGGAGGGAGCAGGGTGCGAAGAGGGCCAGCAGAAAGGAACCTAGAAACCAAAACTGTACACGTTCAGAGTAAAGTTCAGGGTCTCCTAGGCCTGCCTCACCTGGAGTGTGGGAGGGGCATGGCCCACCTGGGCTGGGCCCTGTGGATCTGCCTACCTAGGAAGTTCAGGGCCACTGAGGGCCCCCTCCCCTGGGTAAGTCCTCTGGGCAGTGAGGACACAGGGATCCATGGGCCCTCCTCTTCCCTCACTGTGAGAGGCGCTGATAGCATCTCAGGAGCACAGGGGTTCCCTGACTGTACTTCTGCACAGCACCTGCTCCTGGCCATTTCGTCGGGGATGCCAGAAGGAAAACCCTTGGGGTAGTGGCCAGAAATGAACACGTGTTCGTCTGTCCTTCCCAGTGTGCTAGGAGCCTGGCCTTCTGGGAGAACGGAGAGGTTCTGGATAAGAGGCTGGGGAGGGCCCATGAAGTTTGGAGTCCACGACATCTGAGCCTGAGGCTTGGCTCACAGATAAAACAAATACAGTCTCCCCTCAGGGGTGGAGGGAGGGCTGAAACAAAAACTGGGGGGCCCACCTCAGTCACACCCACCAGGCTGTTCCCTGAGCCCTTGACCTGTGCCAGACACAGTGCCGAGAGCTCCCCGTGTGCTTCATCTTTGCCACAGTCTAATTCTTGGGACTTCACAGAGGTAATGCTGAGGCACAGAAAGGTCTCCCTAGGGTGAGGTAGGGCAGAGATACTGACCCAGGAGGTTTGACTCTGAGCGCAGAGATGCTTCTGCCCTAGGACCTTCTAGAAGCTGAGGCTCAGCTTTGGTGCCCTGAGCCACCTGAGCCTTTGCACAAAATTTTCATGCATTAAAAACAGCTTAAAACTTTGGGAGGAGTCTGGCTGGGAATACGTCTCCAAAATGATATTGCTTAAGAAATGGGTTCAGCTCCTGGTCTCTCAGGGATAATAGGTCTGAATCGCATGACCTTGGGGTACTCTCCCTGCACAGCTCTTGCCCACCTCCTGCAAAAGCTTCTGGGGGAGGCCTTAGGCTACCACATGTGCCAGGCCGTCAACTCCTGGGGAAGGAGTGAGAGGTGGATAGAGGGGCACCAAGCAGTATTTTTTTTTCCAGGAATCTCTGAAAAAATGAGGAGGAATGTGGTTTTCTTTAACTTCTCTCTTAGGATTCCCCTAAGCCAGAAAAAGAAAATTGAAAGACTAATTGGGATGAGAGCTATAACATCAGAGAGCAGAGGTACCCAGGAAGTGCGCCATCTACCATTTTTGTTGAGTACTATAACCCTCCCACTACCCTCTTAGAATTAAAATAAAAGCACAGGACACAATTTACCACTTGCTGCTCCCTGCTGTGAAAAGCAGCAGCTCAAACACAATGTGCCAACTTCAGTGCTTAGGAGTGGCAGCGACTGGCAGTGCCCCATCCAAAGGGACAACTGTGATTCTACTCCTGCTGACTGTTGTCACATGGCCTGATGTACTTGGAGTCTCTGGGTTTTTCGAGTTGGAAATTGTTTGTTAATTTAATTTAAAACATGTGTGAATTGAAAAAATAATGCTGGGGCTGGGCTGGGGTCAGCTTGTTTGTGTCTGATCCAGTCAGGCCCTGACTGTGATGTAGGCTTTGCTGACAGGAACATTTCCAGGCAAACTTGGGCACAGCTTGTGGGATTTACTCTTTGGCCTGGGGTTTTAAAGCTGCCAGTCCACTTCCAGGGTAATGACCGTGTGACGTGGGAGACATATTTCCATATTGAAGCTGTGTGTCAGAGGCTTCTGCTTTTCTGCTTCGGGACATGACAGGTGGACTGGAAACCACTTTGAGATAAAAGCCCAGCTCGTCTGGTTGGCAGATTGGCAAATAGAGAGCCAGTGATTGTTCATTGGTGGTGACCCATGATTACAGATTTACAAACTACAGGATGTCGAAGGGAGAGGGAAAAAATACCCAACCACCCAAATATAACCCAGAGTGGACACATTCTATTGACATATTAATGTGTCCCATTTTCCTGTTCTATATACTTATGGTAAATATTTTAAGAGGTTGTACTTATGCTATCTAGCCAATTTTAAATCCTTTTGAACTCAACATTATATCAGAAACATTTATTGTTTCTCGGCCTTTTGGTCAAGATCAAGTATATAACAGAAAAATTTTCTGTTATTGAAATGGCATAAAAATTAAGTAAAATATGTGGTGTTATGGTGTGGATATGAAATGTTACCTAAAGGCTCATGTGGTGAAGGCCTGGTCCCCAGTGAAACTGTGCTCAGAGGTGAGGCTTTGGAAAAGAGGTTGGATCTCCTGAGCTTCCATGATCCTTCCTCCAGCTTCATCTGTGGATGGATCCATGGACAGATTCATAATTTGGTGACATTATTGGGAGTTTACGGAAAATTAGGAGGTGGGGTTGTTTGAAAGGAATGGGTCATGTGGGTGCAAACTTGAAGACTATGTCTTGTACCCACCCCGTCCCCCTTCTTTTCTCCTTGCCCTTCTTTCCTCTTTCCCTCCCTCCCTCATATCTCTCTTTGTTTCTCAAATGCCGCGAGGAGTGCAGCTTTTCTCCATTATGTTCTACCTCAGGCCCAAAGCAATGGAACCAGCTGACCACAGACTAAAACCTTTGGAGAAGTGAGCCAGAATAAGTCTTTCCTCCTTTAAGTTGTTTTTCCTCAGGTATTTTGTCCCAGTGATGGAACTGTAATGCAGATGAGTAATTCTAAAACTACCTGTATAATACTTCACCAAAAGCAGCGCCCCCCTCCCCGACACACACACATACACTGAGAGGGTCATTAGCATAGCTGAGAATTTGGTTTCTGGCATTGGACTACCTGCTCTGATATTACCTACACCAAAGGCAAGAAACTTTGGATTCATCTAATATCATCATTTTACATATCCATAGAGCAGACATAACAATAGCAGCTAGAATTGGATGACATGTC